CTGCAGGTTGGAGTCCATGGCTCCACTGCCACTGCCGGCCGGCACCACGCCCAGACTGCCCTCAGCGCTGCAGCCCTGCGCCGTGCCGCAGCACGCCCATCCCCAGCAGCCCGGAGCCTACAGGGCAGCCATGGTCCTGCCACGCCCTAGTGTGCCGCACGGGCGCCAGCCACTGCCAGCAAGTGCCGCCACGGCCAGGTGGCACACGCCTCCCCAGGGAGGATAGGCAGGCAGGAGCGGTGCAGCGCCAGGCGAGGTGCACCCATGCGATGGTGGCGGTGGCGACGGCGCGGCTGGGGTCCTTGCACCGGAGCGGCTGCGCCCCAGCCCCTGCCACCCAAGTTTAACTTCAGGCGAAGCAACATTTCTCTGATAAAGACGTGGTCCATTAGAATACCGGGCCCCCATTGGCTAGGCGGCCACGGCTCCCGCGGCCATTGGCCGGGTGACAGGCCCGGTCCAGGATTGGCTCACCCTAGACAAATTGCAGTTTGAAAGACTGGCTGCACAGGCCCCATGGCTGCCGGCTCATTAGCTCCAGCCGGCCTGGGCTGGTGTCACCTGCTCTGTAGGTGCTGGCCCCAGGCCTGGGCTGCTGCATGCAACGCTAGCCACACACGAAGCGCATGAAGCTGGGGTGCCAGATGGATATAGGCCCGGGCATGGGTGGGACAATGGGCCAGGGGCTAGATGGTGCCTGGGCTCTCACCCCCTGGCATGCACCCCCTCGCCTGGGAAAAGAAGGGGCAGAGCCAGCAGGCTGCACATCACCTGCACGTCTGTGAGTGTATGTGCACTGTGGGACACGCATGCAGAGGAAGCGCACTTGTGTGCACATCAATGCAACATGTCTGTGCTTCCTCACCTCTGGCTTTTGTTTGTTTGTGTGTGTGTGTGTGTGTGTGTGTGCACGCGCATGTTGGGAGGGTCAGTTGCTCTGTGGGGTGGCCGTGGGGCAGGCCTGAGTCCTGTGTGTGGGGCAGCTGGCTGGCAGGTGTGCTCTTGCCCACACATGCCACGGTCTTGCAGATGTGACAGCTGCCGGGTGCATGGGGACTGCTCAGTGCATGTCCGCAGCAGGTCAGCTGTGTGCACGTCTGGCCGCGCCGCAGCTGCCTGGTGGGACTGGCCCCTGGGACGTGGGGCAGTGACTGGACAAAGCCTGCTTGCAGCTGGGGCCGCCCCTGGCCAGGAGAGGCAGCTCACAGCTTCTGGGCTGCAGTCCCCGCAGCATCTGCGGTGCTGGACAGCGCTCGCCCCAGAGACTGCGGGGGACAGAGTGAGCAGGAGCTGGCTGCACCAGGCCCACATGCACATGCACGGACACTCGGCTGGACAGTGCGTGATAACAAAGGACTGCAGGTAAGAAGCCATTTCCCAGCCCCCGCCTGGTACGGCCTTCTCTGCCCAGGCCCCATGGCGGGGCCAGGAGTAGCTGGGGAACAGGCTGCCGTGGCCACATAGGGACCTGGGCCTTGGCCGGATGCAGTCACCTCCCTGTCCTGGCCCGTCACCCGCTTCCAGCTCCCCCGCTGGCACAAGGGACCCTTAGTCTCTGCAGTCCTCCCTCCTGCCACAGCACATGTGCAGCCAGGGCGCAGGAGGGGCTCCTACTTGGCGCCTGCTGCCCCCTCCCTGGGGGCTGGATGTGTCCTGGAGTCCCCCTCCCACCCCCCACCCCCGCCCTGTGCACAGAGAAGCAGAGAGGAGGCAGAGCGGTGTTGTTTCTTTATTAAGTCATAGTCGGTAGCTGGTGTACAGGGAATGGTCTATACATCGGGGCTGCGCCGGGGACAGGGTCCCCGAGGCTCGTTCCCATAACAATAAAAAAGGAAGTTAACAGAACTGTAAAATGTCTAAAAAGCGTCTAGTGCGCGGGCGGTGGCGGCATGCCCTAGGGGTCAGGCCAGCGCGGCCCCTGCGGCCCTGCCAGCGATGCGAGCGGCGAGCACATGCCCTACGAGCACGCGAGGCCGAAGCGCGGGACCCACACTACACTACGGGGCTGCCGGCGGCCTTGGCGGGGTGGGGCAACTATGCTGCAGAAGGAGGGGGAGGATGGACGTACTGCGGCCCTGGCTGTGCACGCGGCGCTCCCCAAGGCCAAGCCCTGCCCGCTCACTTCCCTGCACTGACACCTCCGCCGGCAGCAGGGGCAGGGGGTTCCCTGCCTGATGCCTCACGGTCCGTGACAGCAATGGCGTGTGGGCTGTATGTGGCTGCCAGGGCCGCATCAGCCCCCAGGAAGGAGCAGAGTTGGGGATCCCTGCAGGCCGGGATCCCTGTGCCTGGGGGCGGGTGAAGGACATGGGGGCAGGGAAGGTAGCAGCCACTGCCCCTGCCTGTGACCTGCCAGCTGGGGTCATGTATCACAGCAGACTCCATCTACTAAATGCCTTAAAATAGCCCAGGTCTCTGCATCTGCCCCGGCTCCTGCCAGGCTGGATACAGGCAGGGACAGCTGGGCTGGGGCCAGGGTGGGGCAGTGGCTTTACCATCCCATGGGGATATGCAGGGGCAGGCCCCTGGGAAACGCTGCTGTGCCGGGGCACGGGGCTTGGTCCTGCAAGGGTCAGCGTTTGCTGGGCTGTGCTAGTGTGGCCGCCCGCCTGAGAAGGCCAACGGGGGCCGGCGCAGAGGGGAGGGCTGCAGCACCATGACCCCTCCTGCCTCTGAGCTGACATTGTGCTGGGTGGGTCGGCACCACCCACGGTGGGGGCTGACAGAGGTGGGAGGCAGCCAGCGCCCCTGCCCCTGCGTGGGTGGCAGGGAGTGAGCAGGGGCACATGGGCAGCGGGCCTGTGCCTGGCCACTCCTGCAGGGCCCCGTGGGCTGGAGCTGTGGGCTCACAAGCCGCCCTGCCCTGCCACTGGCCGAGGGCCGAGCTGTTGGTGCTCCGTACACATGGCGGGAGCATCCCGGGTTTGCATAGTATTTATTGTTCATATACACAAGGCTGAGTACTGTACAGTTTACACTTTCAACACAAGCAGCGGGCTTGGCCCTCGGCCCAGTGCCCTCCCCTCACTTGGGGGCTCGCCCACCTACCCACACTGGGCGGCTGCTGCAGCCTGGCCCTCTCTGCCTGCCCCTCCTGGCATGAGGCGTGCTCCCCGCGCCCGCAGCACTCACAGGGAGGGGTGAGATGGCGAGGCTGGCAGAGAGGCCAGGGAGACGAGTGGGGGCTGCCTGGCCGTGGGCGGCTCCGTGTATCTGCAGACACCCCACGGGGCTTGGCCGTGGTGCCGTCTCCACCCTGCCCACGGTACCTGCCACCGGCCTGGCCCACACCTCCCCGGTGGGGCCGGGAGGCCCCAGGACCGGTCTCCTGGGTTCCTGGCCGTGCAGGGCCCCCAGTCGGTAGTACGTACTGTAGCTCATGCGTCTGCATCAGTCAATCATGCGAATAGGACGGTAAGTAAGTCTCGTACAGAAATCATGCCGGTAGCCTATAGAAACACGTACGGCCGGCCCCGCTCCCGCCGGCGCTCGGCTCTTGCCTCTCCTTGTGGGGGTCAGGACGCGTGTGCAGATCAGTGGGTTGGTGTTGAGGTGAGGTCCTGAGGAGGGAGGGAGCAGGGAGGGGGTTACTGGGGGCCAGGGCAGGGCTGTGCTCACGGGCAGCTGGCCAAGCCACCTGCTGGGCCCCCGCAGCACCACGGGTCCTGTGCCACGGGACACGGACTGCTTGGGCCCAGGCAGCAGGGCCCAGGCCATGCCACACTGGCACACGGAGTGACATGGACACATCCACACACACCAGCCTGCCATGGAGGCTGGAGGGGTAGCTGTCCTCCACAGTGGATGCCCTGTTCCCAGCTGCCAGAGCCCAGGCCCCACGCAGACACCCCTGGGGACTGTGCTGGAGCCAGACGGCATGTGGGCACATCCCTGCCTGTGCACAGGCACGCATTGGCCTGCTACGGCTGTGCCTGGGCCGTCCTCTCAGCTCGCTGGGTCTGCGCTGCGGGTGAGCCAGCCTCCCTGCTGCCCTCTGGTGCCCGCAGCCCACTGGGTTACTCCAGGAAGGCTGGTGCAGGGACTGGCTGTGTCCGGCCTGGACGGGCACTAGTTTTGGCGTGGGGTGTGCAGCACACACAGCACCCCTTGCTGGCAGCACCAGGCAGGCGCTCAGCCAGTGCATGTGCCACAACAGCATGGCCACGGTCTCTGTCTCTCCAGGGTGCCATGGCCAAGGTCATCCCAAGGGGCCCCCTGCCGGGCTGCACAGGCCCGCAGGCACTGCCAGGTGGCTGCAGTAGGTGTGGGGACAGGCAAGCATGCTGGTGGCATTACCTCGACAGAGGCCACTCGGGGTCACTGCTTCCCCCGCTTCAGGCTGGCGCGTTTCACTATGTGAGCCCCCATCCTGCCCCCGACAAGCTCCGCATTCAGGCCGCGCCCGTGTACCTCCTCCTGGCACCACAGCAGAGACAGGAAGCAGCACGCCCAAGGACAGACAGAGAGAGAGGGACAGATGGACAGAGAGGACAGGAGAGGGAAAGGAGAGTCAGAAAGCAGAAGGTGCTGAGCCAGAGCTGGGAGTGGGTGTGCAGGGCAGAGGAGAGGAGAGGAGAGAAGAGGAGAGGAGAGGAGGAGAGGAGAGGAGAGGAGAGGAGAGGAAAGGAGCATCGTGGGTGGAAGCAGAGGCAGGGGCAGGGGCAGAGCGGTACCTGGCTGCCCAGGCTGTCGTGCTGCAGCAGGCCATACTTCATGAAGTGTTCAGCCTCGGCCTCCAGCTCCTGGGCCTCCTGCAGGGAGCCCTCCAGGATCACCTCCTCGCGCGCTCGCCCGTCGTCCTCCTCATCTGGGCCCAGCCGCCGCACCACCTTCCGGATGATCTGCGCAGAGTGCTGGGTCACCATGGCCAGCCTGTCCCACCCTGCTTGCCCACAGCGTGCCCAGGGCATGCCTACCTCTACCCTGGGCTCCCCTGCAGGCCCGTGGCAGTCCCCAGAGCAGAGGGGGGCCCAGAGGTTCCCCCAACTGCCCTAGGGCTGCCCCCACTCACCTTCTTGGTGACTATGTTGCCCTGCTCATCTGTGAACTGCTCCTCGGTCACCTGCTCCCCGGGGATGTCCTGCACTTCGTTGCCCTGTGGGCAGAGCAGAGTGAGGCAGGCCGAGGACCCCCGCAGCCCAGGACACTTAGATGTGGCCTGGGAAAGCACCAGCCCCTGCGGGGCAGCAGAAACGACCTGCTTCCCTTCCCCCCACCCCGGTGTCAGCACGGCACCTCCCGGAGCAGCCCTGGCTGATATGCAGGGGTGGGGGGTGGCAGGGCCGTTGCTGTGCTCTGTGAGCACAGGGGACGGAGGGCAGGGGCATGGGGCCAGGACAGCTGGATGGGGGCCTCAGCGGGCCACGGACAGCCCTGTTACCTTCACAATGACACGGCGGCGGACCACCCTGGTGGACACTGACTCCTCGTCGTCCGCCAGCCCCTCGCTTTCGCCCAGCTCCTTGTCCAGCTCATGGTGGACATGCTTGAGCAGGAAGCGCACGGAGCCCTGGATGATGTGCAGCACGTTCTGGCAGCTCACCAGGAAGAAGCCCAGCAGCACCAGGGTGATCAGCAGCTGGGTCACGAAGGCCAGCATTCTGCCGCTGCGCCCGCGCTCACGCCCTGCGCCCACGCCCCGGCCACGGGCGTCCCAGCCCGCAGCAGCCCAGAGCGCTGCCTGCTCTGCCGGCTGCCCCGTTCTGCACAGGGGCCGTGTCAGGCTGTGGTAATTTTAGCTGCCGCATACCAGCTGGCTGCAGCCACTGGCTGGGGCGGGCAGGTGGGCTTGTCCTTTGCACTCTCAGCTCCTGTCAAAGTCATCTGGCCTGGAGGGGCACCCACGGGGCCTGAAGCATGGGGCAGCCCCTGGCCCCGAGCTCGGCAGGAGGGGCCGGGGCTGGGCCCCCGGTCCCCAGCCGTCTGCCTGCAATGCTCTGCAGCCCATTGAGGGGTGCCCACAGCAGGCCGCCCGCGTGGCTCCAGAGTGTGGGGCTGTGCTGGCAGGGCCCAGCCAGGGGCCCAGGGGCTGCGCATATGGAGAGGCATAGCCTGAGGGAGCTGCCTTCTCTGCCTGCCGTGCTGCCCCCACCCCCTGCCACCCCTCGCTGCCTGGCACAGCTGGCTCTGACTGGGTGCCCAGTGCCAGACCCCCATGGCTGGCCAGGTCTATTTCTGGCCGTGGCAGGCTGGCGCAGGGGCGGGAGCCCTGGGAAATACCCGATTAGGAAGCATGCAGGGTGGCTGCCGGTTATAAATGGAGAGTGGAGGCAGCAGATTGGTGCTAAATAAAACCCTGGGCCTGGCTCAGCCGTGCTATTCTGGGCCATGCCCTGCAGAAGCCATGCGGGGGATGCCGGCATCTGGCAGGGTGGGCTGGTGCCGAGGCAGCTGGGCCCCTCCTGAGCTGGGGGCAGTATCTAGCCTGGCTGCAGAGCTTCTGCCAGGCCCGAGGGCAACGTGGTGCCAGCACCCAGGGACAGCTCTTCCTGCTGCCACCCCTTACCCTTGTCTGCCCGAAGAAGCTGCTGTCTGCCTCCTCCAGCCATGAGCTGAAGGTCTGGCTGTGCAAGGGCGGTGGCCGGGAGTCGCTCTCCTCTCCGGAGTCGATTCGCATCCGCTCAGCAGGCGGCATCAGGACCGTGCCCTGGTCCTGGCTCCAGGCCCCAGAGGCTGAGCCAGGCCCCATCACATTCAGCAGGTGGGCACTCCGGGCCACCCCCTCCTGCCAGGAGCCCTCGGGCAAGTCCTGTAGGCGGGAGACAAAGGAGCCCTCTGCATTCCAGTCCCGCAGCCTGGGCACCAGCCAGAGGGATGGGGGGGAGAGACAGACAGACAGACAGACAGACAGACAGACAGAGAGACAAAGAGAGGCGGTCAGCTTCTCCACTGAGACCACCCACGCGGCACATGGCTCCTGCCTTTGCCCACGTGCCCCGGCGCCAGGCGCAGCTCCATCCCCCTGACCCCCGCAGGCTGAGCCGCTGTCACAGCCAGAGCCCCAGTCTGCTGGTGGGCTCCACGCCAGCCCCAGCCCAGCCTAGCCCAGCACTCATGCAGTGGATGAGAAATGGGCATCTCCAGGAGCTGGCAGGCAGTTGGGCTGCACAGCCATGCCCTTCACCACCCTGTCCCCGATGCAGGGTCTCGGTGCCCCTGCTCTGGCTGCCTGCCTGGGCCTTGGGCTGTGGTACCTGTCCACGCTCCTCTCGATGACACGGCTCACACTGGGCGACTCGGTGATCCGGGCCTGCACCCGCTGCTGGCCTGAAACAACACAGTCTTCACTCTCTGTGCCCTGTGGCCCTGCTGGGCATGCCCCGTCAGGCCTCCTCGCCTCCAACCTCTGCCCCTCCTCTTGCTCCAGCAGGTCAATGAGGCCATTCATGGCATCTGAGTCCACTGTGTCATCCTCCACCAGGTCCATGGAGCCCAGGTGGTCGGGGCCAGGCATGTCCTCTGGGGGCTGCCCCGTGAGGCGGCCATCGCTCGTGGCGTCCGAGTCCTCGGCCTTGCTGCACTCCAGCGAGGAGTCCTCGGCCGTGACCAGCGAGGGCGTGAGCCCCGAGGACCACACCTGCATGTCGGACATCTCCAGGAGCGCATCCGGCTCGGTGGCGGCCATGGGGATGGCATCCAGGATGGCCACCTCATTCCAGTACTGGTCGGCACGCAGAGGGGACGGCAGCGCGTAATGCAGGGAGGCGGGCGAGAGCAGCTCGTCCGGCAGCGAAGCGTAACCTGCAGGGGCAGACAGAGGCGACATCTCTGGCAGCCGTTCCGCACAGACAAGCATGGCGGGGCAGGGGTGTGGCAGGCAGCGCGTGCTGAGGGGACAAGGCTGCAACTGGGCAGAGAGGCCCTGGGGGAGCTGCCTGGGGTGCCTTGCAGGTGGCCTGACGGAAGCAGGGTTGTACCCCCGGGGCCTGCACTCCTGCCAGGGCTTGCAGGGGGCAGGTGGGAGCAGGCACCAGCTAGGTGCCCTGAAATACTCAGATGTGCATCCGAGACTGTGCGCCACAGCGCTGGGCTCCCTGGACAGCTCTGCTTGCACATGCCTCTCCTCCCCTCATTTTTGAGCCCCTCTTGTGCCCCTGTCCTGCCCTGCAGCCCCTGCCCTTGTCCCTGCTCTGTACATCTGTGTGTGCTGTCTGGCTGTGGCCCTGTCCAGATGTGCAAGTGGGGAGGTCAGGCCCTGGGGCCCTGAGGCCAATGGCTGCCCAGCTCCAGCCTCTCCTGCTATGCCCAGCTGGGGAGGGATGTGGGGAAGCTGTGGGGCCCAGGCAGACTATGCACTTTGCCTCCAGGTATAGGCACAGGGTCCTGCCTACCTGTTCCCAGGGCAGGGGCAGCATCGCTCTCTGTCTGTTTTGGCCCGGGTGTGGGGTAGCCTCTGCAGGCTCCCAGGCTGCTGAATCCCCAGCCTGGGATCCCCATCTGGCTCCCTGCTCACTGGCACCCTGGCAGGTAGCCATCCTCTCTTCTCCCAGCTCCATGCCACCCTCGCGGTGAGGGGGCAGCTGGTGCCAGCACCAGAACCTGCTTGAGGGTGCCTGGGACTGCTACTGCTGACTCAGAGGCCCAGCGAGGGGTGCTGGCTATTAAACCCAGCTGGGTTCAGAGTGGGTGCATAGGCTGGGGGGCTCTTCCTCTAGCAGCAAAAGGGTGCAGGGAGGCTGTGGTGCAGCTGGCAGCAGCAGGGCCATGCAGGGAAGGTGGAGGCAGCAGTCCAGGCAGGGGTGGCAGTGAGCGTGCAGGGGCATGCACAGACACGCAGCCGCGAGCGGGGTGCGAGTCCCTTGGTGACAGGCAGCAGCTCCGGCAGGGCTTGGCCCAGGTGGAGACAGTGGAGATAGGCAGAGGAGGATGAGAGCAAGAGGTCAAGATGAGGCCAGAGGAGGAAGGCGACGGGCAGCGATGGCAGGGGCGTGCCTTGCCTGACAGCGCCGACGGCGTGTTTGAGAGAACACAGAATGGAGGGGAGAGAGCCTTCAGCAGGCAGCATCCACAGCCACCCAGGGACTGGGACGCCAGGCCTCAACACTGGCTGCAGCATCAGCCCAGAACTGGCGCCCTGCTCTGTTGCAGATGCCTGGGTCATGCCCAGTCCCCAGCCCTCATTGCCAGGGCCAAACCCAGGCACCTGCTGGTGCAGAGGGTGACTGGAGCCAGGCTGCACAGAAGGTGTAGTCAAGTGTGCCCGGCCAAGGCACTGACCAGCCAGGAATCAGGGGCATGTGGGTCTGGCCCCATGGGGAACCGCAGTCTCTGTCTGTGGCCAGCTGCTGCTGGGCTCCAACTCCCATCCCAGACCCCATACGCCAGGCTGAGGCTCCCATGTCCTTGCGCTGGGGGAAGCTCCGGTCCATCCCTGGCAGGAGCAGAGCTGCCTGGCCAGCTGTGGGCTGTGGTGCAAGTGGGTGGCACTGCCAGGCCCCACGGCCTGCCCAGGCCCAGGGACTCACCATTCATCTGGGAGGGTGAGAGGGAATAGTCCCTGTCGGTGTAGCGCCGGTCACACTTCAGGCCACGGCTATGCCACCCAGAGCCTTCCAGCATGTTGACAATCTCACTGCGGTCGATATTCCTCAGGGCCGTGTATAGGCTCTCCACTGCGCAGAGGGAGCTGGTGTCAGAGCAGGGCATGGGGCCAAGCCCTCTAGGCACCCTGGGTGGGTGCCGATGGCCCCACAACAGCACTGTCTACTCCCCAGCCACATATGAACCCACAATGGCAGTGACACACCACACTGCGACTGCACATGGGACAGCTCCTTGTGCACCATAGCTGGGCGACTCAGCCAAGCCACCCCACCCATGCACACGTGTACCTGTGGAGCATGGCTGTGCGAGTGTGCAGGGCACCTCATATCCCCATTCCGCTAAGTGTAGAGATGGCTCCCTAGCTCAAGGCATGGGATGTGCCCATGGTCTCTTTCCAGGGAGTAGCTTGAGGGCCCAACCCCAGCAGTCAACACAGCAGGGGCTGCCAAGTAACACTCACCCTTGGCATTCTTGCCCTCACGATTTGCCCACAGGTTGAGCAGGGCTGCGCTCTGCTCCAGCAGTGAGTTGGGGTTCTCCACCCGGATTCGGTTGATGTCTTCCACCCCGAAGTGCAGCTCTCGTGCCAACTCTGTGAGACACACACCACAGGATGGGCACTGTGCTGTGTACCTGGCCAGGCCTCTCCCAGCCCCACATGCCCACCAGGGGTAGCATCAACACCAGAGATGCCCTGTGCACGCTGTCCTCGTGATGCACAGACGACAGGCTGATGCCACTGCCATGTGCAGCAGCTCAGTGCTGGAGACCCTGGTTGGGTGGAGCTGGCTGGGCACTGGGCTGCCCCCTGCTCAAGGCTGGCTCTGGAGATACAGGCATCTCAGGAGCCCTGCAACAAGGAGGCCTTGTGCCCTGGGACCGGACTGACCTGCCCAGCTGAGGCCAAGGTGCTCAGAGATGATGGCCATCTTCAGGTCTGCCTTGTCCATGCCACTCAGAGAGCCTGGGGGAGAAGAGGGAATCACAGCACTGCCTGCCCCGTCCCCTCTGCTGCTGTTTGCACTGGCATGTGGCCCTAGGCATCAGCTTGAGACAGGTGTGCCAGGGACATGCTTGGCCTCAGCTCAGCCTCTAGGCAAGGTGTCAGGTGCAGCAGCGGGGCCCCCAGGGGCTCAGGGCACCACCAAGGAAGAGAAGTGACTAGGTCCCCGGGTGAAAGACTGGGGCAGGTGCCCCTCTATACTTCCCCCTCCCTGCCCGTGGGGCAAAGTGGCTGGACAGGGCCAGCAGCACATACCCAGACTGCTCTCGCTGAGGATGCTGTATCTCTCCCGCAGGGCCAGTGGCGTCAGCGTCCTCCTCCGCTCCTCACTGCCTGTCCCCTGCAGAAGCAGAAAGGACCACAGGTCACACGGGGCGTGGACGATGACCAGCCCCCAGCCGTTCCAATGGGGCCAAAGTCCCTGCCCCAGCCATGGACACAGCTGGCAAGCACCTGGCCCAGGGATGGGGAGGGTGTGGGGAGCCGGGGCATGGCGCCGCATGCTGGGAAAAGGCTGGGTGCTGACCTTGGTGCAGGGTGGCATGGTGATGTTGAGGTGGCAAAGCGTGTGCTGCAGGTCTTCATACTTCATGGCCTTGCGCAGGAACGAGAGCGAGCCGCTTGCTTCCCGGCTGCTGTCCCGCACCTGCATGACGGGACACGGTTGGTTGGACCAGGGAGCAGGAGGACACCCGCCCCCAACCCCACCCTCCGTAGCCGAGGTCGCTCCTCACCTTGACAGGCAGGGCCAGCCGGTTCTCCCGGAAAGACTGGAAGAGGAAGCTGCGCTGCTGCGTCGCCTTCTTGACTGGCACCAGGTTCCCCGAGAGCTCAGCATGCAGGGGCATCCCCTCCAACACCTGGGACAGAGCGCAGGCTCAGAACCACTGCAACCTGTGGGCTGGGTGGCTTGTGCTGCCTCACCCAGGTCTGGACACTGTCCCCCTGTGCTGTCGCCAGGGCCCCATCATCCACACACCGGGAAGGGATCCCTACCCGAGCACTGGGGGCTGCAGGCTCCACACAGCCGTCAGCAGCGCATCCCACTGGCCCCAGGGCCACCTCCCCAACCTGACCACGAGGGGAAGGGTCTGGGCTGAGTGCTACCTCAATGTCACGGCTCCGGGCCACCTCAGTGAAATTCTCGTGCTGCTCCAGCGTCTTGTCCACCTTGTCATCCGTCATGCAGTAGCAGCGCAGCCGGCCCTCACGGGCATCGTTCATCTTGGCGAACACCACGAACTTGGCCATATAGGGCACAGCTGCCAGCTCCTTGTACAGCAGCGTGGCAAAGTGCACCGCCTCGGCCGTCCGCGGGCAGTCTGCCAGCCAGAACCTGTGGCAGGGGCCACGTCAGCAGGGACTAACCGGGCCCTCTCCTCCCCAGGCCCCCACGGCTGGCATGGTTCACTCATGGCAGGACGGGTCCAGGCACATGCACACGCGGCATCTCACCTGGCTGAGACGTTGGTAGTGAAGTTGGCACACTCATTGGTGTAGACCAGCTTGGTAGTGCCCGTAATGTCCTCCCACTGTGCTTGGGCTGTTCCTCCTGCAATAGCACCATAGGGATTGGTGCCTGCCCAGAGCCCGGCCTCAGCCTCCCTGTCCCCTTCTCCCTGGGAGCCGCCCCGGTCACAAATGCCCTCAGGCCCTGCCCCGAGAACCCCTGTCTGCAAAGACCCAGCCCAGGGTGCTGGTGACGCTGACTCATGCTCTGGCCTGAAACCCAGTGAAGGTACAGTGCTCACCGATGACACTGCAGAGCAGGCGCAGGCTGGTGGTGTCACCCTCACCACTGTCCCGGGGGCTGTCCTTCCAGGACGGTGGCAGTGGGATGCGCAGGCCGATAGGCCGGTGGAACTTCCTACGCCGCGGTTCCACTGTCACGATGGGGCTGAAAGTCGCCTGGTTCCCCAGCAGCTTGGTCACCAGCTCATCTGGCACCGGCTGCGCCTGTGTGGTGGGACAGAGAAGAGTGGAGGTCTGCACTGGCCTGCGCTTGCCCCTGTCCCAACCCGTCTGTCTGTGCATCATCCCCAGTGGGGGCCTGGTACCTGCAAGGCCAGCTTAACCTTCTTGGTGACGGCGGTCTCGGGGAAGGTGGCCTGCACCATGGGCACCAGTGTGCTTCGCAGGCTGCCGCCCTCGGAGCCAATCAGGTCACAGTCCTGGCAGATGCGGGACATGACCACGAAGTAGAGGGGGAAATCTGTGGTGATGATGCGGCAGATCCGCTTCTTCTCCAGCTCCTCCCGGCTGTCCAGCTCTGCAAGGCAGCGCCACGCTCAGGCCATGGCCCACCATGTCATGGCCCGGCTAGCCACACGCCAGCCATGCCCCTGCCCACCGCGTCACCCCAGGGCCCAGCTCACCCTCGTCCATGCCGCTGAGCACCTGCTCCAGGTAGCGCTCATCATACCGGTTGCGATGCTCCTTCCACACAGAGCCGTTCTCGCTGCGCAGCACGACCAGCTCCCGGTCACCCCGCCCGTAGGAGGCAAAGTGTGGGATCTCCACGATCACAGGGCTGCAGTGGGATGTGGGCATGAGAGGGGCTTGAGGGATGTAGTCCCAGGGGTGCCAATGTTGTCATGAGGGGGCAGGGCAGGGGCAGTGCAGGGCCTGGGGTTAAGAGCCATGAGGCATCCAGATCCTAATACCTCGTGTCCCAAATCCTGTCCCCAGCAGTCCCCAGGCTCCAGCTTTGCACAGGGCATTGGCAGAGACTCTGGGGAGCAGCTGGGCTATGGCTCACCTGAGGAACTGGGCACCAGCAGGGCCCAGGGCGATGATCCTGCTAGCCAGACCCTCCTCTTCGGCTAGGGGAGGTGGCGTTGTCAGCTTCTGGGGCTTGACCAGGCGGCAGGTGATGCGGGTGGGGGCGGCGCAAGTGCGTGGGGGGACAATCACCCGCAGCCCATTGTGCCGGCTGCCCCGCATGGACCCGCCCCGGGCATCCACCATGAAGCTCACCAGGAACCTGCAGTGACAGACAGATGCTAGTGTCATGCAGGGGCTGGCCCACACACAGGAGCAAGTGCGAGCACAAACCATTCACTCACCCTGTGTGCACGGGGCTGGCCACTGGGCTGATGTTGTCTGAGGTCTCTGTGGCCGGGCTGCTGGGGATAAGTGAATCCTCATCAAACTCCTTGGATGGCTGCAGGAGGGGAGGGGAGGGCAGTGAGGCACAGCCTGGGGAGCCTGCAGAAGTACTGGGGACAATGCGGCTGCCCTGGCCCACAAAACCCCTGGGGGGAGTGCCCCAGGCCTCAGCGATTATGCAGCATGGTCGCCTTGGCTGGGTTGCCCGTTTCCTGCCACGTGGCTGGCTACAGCCATGGGGGCTCCTACCTGCTCAGGCTCCTCCGGCTTGATCACCACTGTCTCAGGCGTGACACAGGGGATCCGCGGGATGGCAGGGGACTCCACCCTGTGAGGGCAATGCAGACCATCACAAGCAACTCTTGTGCAATGCGGGCTGAGAGCTATTTCTCCATCGGGGCCCTGTGGGCAGGACCCCAACGAAGGAGGAGCCCAGTACAGGTGCAGGGCCTCACTTGGCATCCACGCCCACACTCTCGGCACCTTCCTGACACACCCGCCTCCCGCCAGCCAGTGCAGTCCTTACGTGTGGTCCAGCTTGGGCATGAACTCCTCTTCCTGCTCCCTGGTCTGTGGCTTCTCCAGTTTGGATCCAACCGGCTCCTCTCCTAGAACCAAGAACTGGCTCAGCTCAGGGATAGCAAGGGCAGGGAGCAAGGTTGCCAGGTCCCCTCCCTTCCAGGCTCTGGGTAGCGGGAGCTGAAGGAGGGTGGCACACCCCGCTCTCAGCCTGGTGTCTCTGCTTCCCAGCCACGGCTCTGGAGCGGGGTCTCTGGTGCCAGCCGGGACCTGCTGCCAGGGTGCGTGGCCCTTCTGGCCAGGGCTCTCTCTGCCAACGGGGCTTCCCGTGCTCAGATTAGACACACATTAACCCGGCTGGAAGTGGCTCTGGCTGTTAGGCTGCTCCAGCAGCAAGCCAGCCCCATGGCCAGCACCCCAAGCACAGCAGCGGAGCTGCAGGGCAGGCAGCACGCTCTGGCTTGGTCCTGAGGCAGGCCCATTCAGTGCACACACCTCCCAGGAGATGCACCAGCAGGGGCCAGGCCTGCCTATTCATGGCCACGTGGACACCCATGAATAAGCCCCTGGGGGCCAGGAGCTCTACCGCCAGGGCAGCAAGTCAGTGCCCAGGCAGGAGAAGGTCTGGCCACCCTCCAAACCATGGGGCAGAGAGGCTAGAGCCAGGGCAGTGTGGGGACCCATGGTGGGAAGGGGGAATCTGGGCTCCCACTCCAGCTCCAGATGGACAGTCCCTGCCAGGCAAGACTGTCAGAGACCGGCTCAGATCCTATCTGTTGCATGGCACAGGCTTGGGCCCTTCCCCACCCTCAGGGAGTCCTCCCTACCCCGGGCTTTGGCATCCCCGAGTGGCCTGGAGCACCCTGCCTGGCTGAACGCATGCCCGTTCATGCAGTATCACCACAATGGCAGCACACGGGACAGACACAGAGATGGGCAGGGTGCAGGGACGGGGGCAGGGCCAGGCCAGAGCCGGCTCCTGCCTGGGTGGCACAGGGAGGATGGGAAGCCATGGAGCGTGGGATGGGTTAGTGACAGTGGTGCACGGGGGTGAGATGGGCGCACGCCCGGGCCACGGTGACACACATGGTCCATACCCATTAGAGTGACATGAGCAGTGCCTGCAAAGCAAGAAGAGTCAGAGTTGAGAAGCCCTGCACAGCAACCGCTGCCCAGGACCCTGTGGCAGGAAGTGTGGTACCGGGGACCCCAGGAAGCTCCAGGCACCATGGCCAGAACCCTCCCAGGGCTGTGTTGGTGACAGGTGGCTCTGTGCTGGACAGAGCAGCTCCAGAGCCATCCCTGTGTGTGGAGGGGAGCTCAGGGACCGTGACCCCAGGGACAGACTGCTGGGCCAGGTCCTGCCAGGCAGAGCACCCCAGTCCCTGCAGCTCCAGCCTGGCCTGGCCTGTGGGTTGGGGCAAGCCAGAAGGGAGAGAGGGATACAGATCTCTAACTGTGCACAAGCTCTGCACTCCTGCCCCTCACCTTCATCCTCAGACACATCCAAGATTTCATCCACGGTTTCAGGGAAGCTCATGCGGTGCTTGTCGCCGATCATCTGTGAAAGACAGAGAGAGTCAGAGCAGGGCCAGCCACCCCACTCCAAAGCCCTACCCTGGCTCAGGCCCACGCTCTGAAACCCTGTGGGCAAACCTCCCTGCGGCTAACCCAGCCAGGGGCACAGCCAGCAAATGGCAGCATGGGGCACAGTCCCGAGGGGGCAACGCTAGGTGGCAGCAGAGCTCTAAGTGGCTGTGGCTGAGACCCCTGCCCCCCACCTCTGCCCCAAGCCTGGACCCCAGCCCAGAGCAGAGCAGGCTGCCTGCAGACAGGGGGGGGCTGGGGGCTCACTGGGATGCTGGTTTCCTCCGTGACGATTTTCAGCACGTCTGTGACGGAGATGTAGCCGAGCCGCTTGGCGATGGCCAGGGGTGTGGTGCCATTCTGCATGAGGAAAGGGCATGGGGTTAGTGCAACCAGGGGAGCTGATTGTGGAGGTGGCTGATGCCAGGGCACAGCTCCAGCAGCCCTGCCCACTGTGTGCCCATGTACTCACCGTGCTGACCTCGTTGGGGGAGGCGCCATGCTTCAGCAGCAGTGTCACAATGTCCGTGTGGCCCTGCTGGGCTGCCTGATGTAGGGGTGTGTACCCCAGCTGCAAGGACACAAGGGACGAGGGTGAGCCTGGTCCATCACCCCATGCAGAAGCAGCCCCAGGGCCCCACCCCACGCCAACCCACTCTGCCTACTTTGGTCTTGGCGTTGACCTCGGCTTGGTGCTGCCGCAGGAATTTCACCAGCTTGATGTTTCCGTAGTGGCTGGGGCTGCAAGGACACAAGGGACGAGGGTGAGCCTGGTCCATCACCCCATGCAGAAGCAGCCCCAGGGCCCCACCCCACGCCAACCCACTCTGCCTACTTTGGTCTTGGCGTTGACCTCGGCTTGGTGCTGCAGCAGTAATTTCACCAGCTTGATGTTCCCGTAGTGGCTGGCCACGTGCAGTGGTGTGTAGCCCATCTGGAAGGCAGCACCAGGCATGGTCTCATGTACCCCTTGCCTTGCCCCCGTCTCCACCAGCAGGTGTCCATGGCTGCCCACCCTGTGCCAGCACTCCTAGCACCAGAGCATGCTCAGGCAGTGCCTCAGTCAACCCACCCTGCACCACCTGCCGCCTTACCCGGGTTGTTGCATCCACCGTGACTCCATGCTTGATCAGGACATCAGCAACTGGCACGTGCCCCTCCTGGGCCACCAGGTGCAGTGGGGTGAGGCCACTCTGCAAGGAACGGAGGGTCACAGATGGAGCAGGAGGTTCAGTGACTCAACCAGGAGCTGCAGCTGTGCTCAGACATGGCACAGGCTCCAGTGCCTGACAGGGCACGCAAATGCAGTCCGTGTCCGAGGAGGTGACCCAGCAAGGACAGAATCCCAGGGAACCCAGTGGCCCAGTGAAGTCATAGTTTGTGGGGGCTGGTTCCTGTTCTGCACCTCACTACCCCCTGGCTCCCAAGGACGCCTGGAGACCTCCTGGCACATCAGGACCTCCAACCCGCAGCCCCCAACCAAGCAGCCCACGTCCGCTGGCCCCATGAGGCGGCTCACCTTGCTGCCCAGATTGCTGTTGGCCTGCTTGGAGATGAGCAGGGCCACCATGTCGGCATGGCCCTCCTGAGCAGCCAGGTGCAGGGGTGTCACACCCTGCGCAGACTCGGCGTTGGCAGAGGCACCATATTGCAGCAGGCTGCCGGCCACCTCCAGCTGGTTCTGCTTGGCTGCAATGTGCAGCGGGGTGTAGCCATTCTGCTGGAGGGGTAGGGCTGTCACGTGTGTGGCCTGGCAAGGAAGCCCCTTCCCTTTTCTCCTCCCTTCCCCTACAGCCACTTGCAGCAGAGCTCCCCAGCCTGTGCCCACACTGCACTGGGGCCTTACCCAGGCCGAGCTGTGTGGGGACCCGCCTTTGGGCAGCAACAGCTTGACGATCTCCAGGTTGTTGTGGTACACGGCCACGTGCAGGGGTGTCAGGCCATTCTGGGGGGAAGCACCCACTGGTCAGAGGGAGCCCAGCCTTTTGAACGCAGCACAGGCAGCCCCAGCCCTGCCCCGGCCCTGGGCAGCACTAACCTTCCCCGCTGCATTGGGGGCAGCATTATGCTCCAGCAGCACCTCGGCTACATCCACCTTCCCGTACTTGGCTGCAACGTGCAGAGGGGTAAATCCTTTCTGAGGAGAAACACAGAGCCTCAGGGCTTGGCAGTCAGTGGGCACCAACTGGGCTGCTGCACGGAAGAAATCCTGCCAGCAGGGACCTGCCTACTGCCACCACAGGGCCCAGTCACCCGGCCCTGTCCTGTCAGCATCGCCTGCCTACCTTGGTCATGCAGACCTGTGAGGCACCTGTATTCAGCAGGGCCAGGGCGGTGTCCACGTGCCCCTCCCGTGCAGCGATGTGCAGAGGTGTGTGCCCTGCTGTGGTGGCCAGGTTGGGGTCGGCATGATTCTCCAGCAGCAGCTGCACCATGCCTGTGTGGCCGATGCGGGCAGCGCAGTGCAGCGGGGTCTGGTCATCCTGGGAGGAGCAGAGAGGGGTCATGGTCTCATGGGGGTGGGGAGGGGCCTGAAGACCCTCCCACAGGCAGACAGGGGTCCCGGCATCCCTCCAACACCTACTTTGGCCTTGGCGTTCACTTTGGCCTTGTTCTGCAGCAGGTACTTGGCCACCTCCATGTGCCCAGCTCTGGCTGCCATGTGGAGGGGCGTCTCCACCTTCTGCGCCCAGGACAAGGGAGAGGAGTGAATGGGGGGCGGTCCCTGGTGCGGGGTCCCTCCCTTCCTCCAGCTACCCCCAGGACAGGGCAGCAACTGCAGCTCCAAGCTGGCTCGTGCTCTTTCCTATACACCTTCCATACACCCTGTGGGGAGCACCCTGGCCAGGGCAGGGCAGGAGGGGGTGGGAGGGAAGAGGACTCTGCAGGAGGCAGGAGCAGGGCCAGCAGAGCTCCTGTGCAGGGAAGGGGGGCTGGACTCACCACATTGGAGACATTTGGGGAGGCTCCACGCTGCAGCAGGGTCTTCACAATTGGCAGATGTCCCATGAAGGCAGCCACATGCAGTGGGGTCAATCCAGACTGGGAGACACAGGGGGCGTGGGGAAGGGGGCATCAGCGCCGGCACCTGGGCATGGGGCCTGGCAGGTTCTGCTCTCTGGGCATTAAGCCCACTGGGCACCACAGCACTGTGGCCAGAGGACCCTGCCACCCTGCATGGCTGCTGTGGCTCCGGGAACCTGCCTCTGAGAGGGGCAGTGGGACACCAGGGGAACATGGCAGGCCTGGCCAGGTCAGGCTGCGGCTCCCACCTACCTCTGTGACTGCATCAATGGAGGCCCCAGTCTTCAGCAGCAGCTCCATCACCCGGATGTGGTTCTTCTTGCAGGCGATGTGCAGGGGCGTGAAGCCATTCTGCAGACAGACAGATAGACATATGGACAAACATGAATGGACAGGTGGACGTGACAGACTGGTGGTTGCTCAGACCCTGCCCCTGTCCTGTACTCACCAGGGCACGGGCATTGGGCTTGGCCCCTTTGTCCAGCAGGAGCTTGGCCACACGATGGTGCCCACAGTGGGCAGCCACGTGCAGCGGGGTGAGGTGGTCCAGTGTGATGTCATCGATCTCAGCATTGTACTGCAGCAGGAGCCGCACACAGTCCACGTGATCGCCCTGCGCTGCCATGTGGATGGGCGACAGCCCGTTCTGCCAGGGACAGTGCAGGCATCAAGGGTCGGCACAGCCTGGACCCACCCCAGAGCAAAGCAGGCTTTTGCACCCCTGAAACCCAGAGGGAGATGGGACCTGCCCCCCTCTCCACACACACACACTCTGGGGCTCCTGGGGAGGGCTGGAGAGTGTCCATCACTGGGCAGAGCCAGGCACTAGCCACAGTCGCTGCAGGGGCCAGATAGATGCTGGGCAGTGTCCAGGGAGCAGCCCCCTGTGACAGAGGATGCCCCAGCCCCTTGAGCCCATCAGGCAGGTGCTGAGCAGTAGGGCAGAAGCCCACATGCTCACAGGTGAGATCACAGCAGCTTTTGGACCCCGGGAGAATGACAGCACCCCACCCCTGGCCTGCTCCAGGCAGGCAGCACACTCAAGAGTAGCCTCGGGGCCCCAAAATGCTGCAGCTCATGTTCCTGCCTGTGCTTTTGTGAGGCCTGGCAGGCACCTTGGTTTTGGCTTGGATGGGAGCCCCGTGGTCCAGCAGGATCTCCGCGATGCGTACGTGTCCATTGCGGGCTGCACAGTGCAGGGGTGTCAGCTCATCCTGGGGGACAGAGTGTACAGTCAGGCCCTGCCCATGCTTGCTGCCACCTGGGCACAGTGCAGGAAGGCTTGGTAGGGCTCCAGCCCTTGGCAGAGGATCTCACCTTGGTCCTTGTCTCAATTTGGGCGCCGCGGTCCAGCAGCAGCCGCACCATGATGACGTTGCCCCGGCGGGAAGCGATGTGTAGGGGGGTGATCCCATTCTGGGGAGGAATGGCCACTGGTCAGTGCACATGGGGCAGGGGCAGGGTGTGAGGGGACAATGCCTCTATCCGCACAGGCAGGAGCCAGGTGGGGCCATG